GGTCAATGTGAAAGGGGCATGAGGTCCATAATTAATGACCGCCTCCTTAAGCTGTTTTATGTCCTTGAAGGCTAGGGGGACATGGGCTCTGGCCGGCTGTCCATCAGCATCGGCGTTTTCAATCATTGGAAAAACTTGAGCCACTCTAGAACCCCAGTGGACCCCCGCCCGTCTAGTAGGGGCGTCCTCATTCCAATCAGGATTATAGGGAGGAGGTACGGCAATTGAGGGGGCCCTAGGCACCCTCACATTTGCCCTTTTAAGGCGATGTTCTAGTTCCTCTATCTCCCTTTCTAATCCCTCCTCTTCCTCAGAGAGAGAACTGAGGTCCTCAGGATCCTTTTTGGGCTTAGAAATCTGGAGGCGTTTCCTACCCTCCGAGCCCGAGTCCTCAAGGGGACCCTCATCCTTTAAGGATTCTGCCATTTGCTCTTCCTGCACCTGATTAAGGGCCTGTTCACATTCATCAAGCTGATCCTTGATCTTTACTTTATCTGTTAATAAAGCATCCTTTACCAACCTCCATAAGGAAAAGGTGGCAACTGGGACACTATCCGAGCCCCGGTCCCTCAATAATTTCTGAAGGTCATGCCTCACCAGGTCCCAGTCACTATTATTAAGAAATCCTCCTGTCAGAAACCAAGGACAAGCCTGGGCAATAATTTCAACGAATTCGGTTGCAGTCTTAGTTTTTATTCCTGTTCCTTGTGTATTTAACAGCTCTTTCAGTTCGTTGGCCAGACGAACCTTCGCTGTTGAGTTACCCATGGTACGTACCCTGTCTCTTTAAAATATCTTTAAACCAATCCTCCCCCTTCTTTCTTAGAAGGTGAGCCCCGTCCGCTTACCCCTGCTTTCCGGATCTCGGTGGGAACCTCCAATTGCCGCGTCCGGCCAAGGGAGCCGAGTCCGGCGAGGGACGGCGAGGTTAAAAGACACACAGGACACCAAGGTTCTTCATCCAGGAGTCAATAATAATCTTTATTGCTAACACACCTTTTTTTATACCCCAAGCAGTAGAAGTGGAAAACTACCCAAAAGCAGGAGGGAGGGGGGAGAAATTTAGTTTTAACATCTATTATTGTCAGGTACCGAAACCTCCCTTAACAATAAGTCCATCAGACCAGAAAAGGTCAAGGCATTCCCGTGGGATACATATGTCTCAGACGGATAAGCAGGAACAGAAAAACCGCAAGTTCGCCATGGCCTTGTGAGCTGTCCACACTGGCATGCAGAACAAACTAGTGGAGGTAGGGGCTCCAGGGGCCAAGGTGGACCTGCTGCCAACAGGAGACCATTGCCATAGAGTTTAGAACAAGTATTGCAGGGAAAGGTCACAGGGAAGCAGCTTTTGCCAAAACTAGAGAAAAAATTCCAAGTAGACCTTCTGATATTTCTCTTGCTTTAGTTACTAGCATTATCATTCATCTTGTGATTGATAACACCAGGAAACTAGAAACCCATATAATATTCTTCCCTGTCAGTGGATCAGCTATTAAATCAAACACAAATTTTACTCCTCCTTTTATATATATATATTTTTCCATATCTGTCTCTCTTTCCAGTCTCACTACTGGGCTAGTCTTTCTAATTACTCTAATGTCCTTCTAACTATTCCTAAATTCATCTCCCAGAGGAAGTCTTTCTGTGAAACCTCTGTTTTCAGATTATTAAAACTGAATGACTTCACCTTTTGTATACAAGGCCTTCATAAGCTGTGCCTTCTAGCTCAATAGCTTCACTTTCCCATTTTTCCTGGTCTTTAGCCATACTGAATCACTTTAAATATACCATACTCTTTCACCCTTACATTCTGCTGTAGGGACTGCTGTCTTTGCTTTAGAATACCCCTTCTCCTTCCTGTTCTAGTTGCTCCTCAGCTTTTAAGATTCATGTCTTTTTTTTTTTTTTTAATATTTACTTTTTAGTTTTAGGTGAACACAATATCTTTATTTTGTTTCTATGTGGTGCTGAGAATCGAACCCAGTGCCTCACGCATGCTAGGCAAGCGTGTTACCACTTAAGCCACATCCCCAGCCCAAGAGATTCATCTCTTTAACTCTTCTATTCAAGCTTAATGCCCCCCAAAATACCTTATGCTCACTTGTATTACAGTGTACTATGATCATCACTTCATGGAATCAAAGAAAAATAATGCACAGGGCACAGTTGTTTTTGATTGGTGTAGTCTAGATCAACTTCTGATTCTATCATTTTCTAGCCAAGAGATCTTGATCATGTTACTTAGCCTTTCTAAGAATTTTCTTTTTGTATAATAATGCCACCCATCTTATAGCATTGTTTTGAAAACTGTGTGAAATAATACATGTAAAACACTTAGCACATTATCTGGTACAGCAAATATTGACATTGAGTAAATGCTATCTGTGATTATTATTAATTATGCTGATAGTTATTTGACAATAAAATGAGCTGCCTTGTGATAGAATCTACATTGCTTTAGGTTTTCCCTTATTAAATAGATGGATCTCTTTCTTGGTGCAACAAAAGGAATTCATATTTTCTATCCCAAATCTACGAAATCTATCAAAATCTTTTCAATTCTGCCTTAAATATCACCTTTTAGACATCATAGCCCAAAGTAACCTTCTTTGATACTTTCATATTATAACATGCCATTTACCACACATTACTTTATGGTTAGCATTTATATTTATTGAGGATCTTAGATAATTACCTAGCCCGATATATTACACATAGTAAACACTTAATAAATGTTGATCCCTCCCTTCCTTACTCTGTAATTTGAACTTCATTCTATAGACATTGAAAAGATAGTGATAGTTTTTGAGTTCACAGATGATTTGATCACAGCAGTGATTTAGAAGGATTAATGTGATGTTAAAGTGAAGGATAAGTTGGAGTAGGGAGGCCTAAAGACAAAGACAAAATTTAATAAGCTGGTTCTATATTCATAACTTATTCAACAAGTTTCAATTAAAATTTGGGAAGAAATGTGGTATAATTGAAAGAGTATAGGTTTTGTAACTAGGTATTTTCATAAATAAATAAAGCCATTGTAGTCTAACAGTTGATAATTTTTCCAGTGTTCACTAGTTGAGAAGTAGTGTTTTTTAAATCTTGTCTCCATATCATTCTACAAATTTTTGCACATGGTTGCCCAACAATGTGAATATGCAAGTGAGAGAATGTTATACTTTTAAAACATGTATAGGAGTTAATAAGTCCAGGCACTTACTGACTACTTTTATGCCTCAGGTACTCTCATATGCATTATTTCACTTGCTTTTTCATAATAACTCTGTGGTAAATTGTGTTATTTCCACTTGACTGATTAGAAGAATAAAACTCAAAGGCTAAATCATTACTGATAAGGGATCAAAAAATGATGGATTTTAAAGCTCAAGTCTGCTGAATATAAGTTTAATGTTTAACCCAGTTATATAACTGCTGCCTTGGGGTATCTAAATGCATATGCTCACTTCCGTTAGATGTTATTCTAAATGGACAATAAGCTGTTAGATCCACAGCTTATCAGCATGTATCCATTTGAGCCTCAGTATTTCTGTTTTTATATACACACATATTCACACAGACAAGCACGTACATGCGCACACATGCACAACACACACGCATACACACTTCTACCCAAACTTTAGAGAAAGAGAAAAGAGTAAATTACCATTTAAATTTCCTATTACCCATGACGAAGAAGGGAGATTTTGATGATCTGCATACTCATAATTCCCAAATGATTAGATATTGGTTTTAATTATCAGCAGAAAGTGAACCTGTCAGACTTCTTTAGCTCAAAGCATCTCAGGCACCTGGGGAATTTGTTAAAATGAAAATTCTTCTTCAGTAAGGTTGGGATGGGGCCTAGAAGACTGAAAGTCTAACTGCTCAGGTGATTCTTTTGCCACTGAGCTTGCAGACTACCCCTTTTGAGTACAAGAACAGAATTTAAATTTTTATCGCAAATACATATTGGTTGTACAAAGCTGAAATTATAATTATACATACTATTTGTGTTCTGTGGTTTTATGTATTTAGCCTTTATCCTTATTTCCTATATAGTTTTCATAATTATGATTTACATAAGCTGTAGAGTTAATATCATATTAGTAATATACATCATTCTCAGTTATTTCACCATTCTAGATAATGCTGCATTCAATTCCCTTGGCCATATTATTTTTTGCTTTTTAATTATTTCCTTAAGATAAATTCCCAGGAGCGATTACTAGGTCAAGGAGTAAACATATCTTTGTTGTTTAATAGGTAGTTTTGCAAGATGGGAAAAGTTTTAGAGATGGACATTGGGGATGGTTGCCCAACAATGTGAATATATTTAATGCCATTAACTCTATGCTTAAAATGATTGAGATAGCAAATTCTTTATTTTTTTTAACCACAATTTAAGTTCTTTTAAAATGAAAACAGTAGAAGGTTATATATAACCCATCCCTCCCAAAAAACAAAGAATATCTTTGTATTTTGTTGCATAATAAACCCTTGACTTTTTAAAAGGAAAACCAAATTATAATGTCATCAGTATGTTTACCTCATTTGTGCCAGTATTGTGTGTCTGTTTCTTAAAATTTTTGCTAAACCTGGGTCTGAGGATGTAGCTCAGTGGTAGAGAACTTACCTAGCATGCACAAGGTCCTGGGTTCAGTCCCCAGCACCACAAAAAGAAAAAAACAAATTGCCAAATAGTGTAATTCTTCAAGTTTGCCTTAATTTGCCTTTTTATTTTTGTCAAGACTAAAATGTGAACATTTGCCCTTATGGATTTTTTTCACTATTTATATTCCTCTTATGTGAAATATACATTCATGTCATTGGCCCTCATTTCTCTTAGAATATTAAGCATTTTTAAATTTAAGAGCTCTTTCTATACAGTGTTATAATGTTATGTCATAGTATTTGGAGAAAGTATTTCTCGCAGTCTTCATTGTCCTTATTAATTTAGATTTAAGAAATAATTAACTTTATGATTTTAATCCATCCTGCAGGTGAATTATGGAAAAGTTTGTAACGACAGCAGAAAAGGATTGAAATTCACTGTCTCCTGCGGCTGCAGTTCAGAATTTGTTTTTGTGCCATATGGTAGCACCATTGCTGTTTATACAGTTTACTCAGGAGAACAGATAACTATGCTTAAGGGACATTATAAAAATGTTGACTGCTGTGTATTTCAATCTAATTTCCAGGTAAGAATGATACTTAAGGGAATTTAAGATGTTCAAGTGGCTAGCTTGCTAGATTAGTAGTGTATAAAAGTTACATTGTGATTTCATTCTGAAGGTTTGTATTTATAATCCACATTTGAGCTAAGATTTATTTAATAGAAAATAATGCAGCCTAGATTTTTAGGTGGCGTAAAATGTATGTATAAATCAGTATAATACTATGCAATTAATTGGGACAAATTGTCTTTCTTTTGCATATGGGCTCCATTTAGCTATTGAAAATCTCTGATGAAATAAAATATTTTCTTTCAATCTTTTGTGTAAAATAAATGAATAAGTATAGGTATTTAACTTAAATTGTAGTGTATCTTGGTTTATGTACGTGTGGGTATGTCTGAAATTTTATTTCTTCCTTATTTTCTACCAATGGCTAATAACAGCCTGCCTTTAAGTTAGTGTAGCTTACATAATTTCTTAAATACCTGTGGATTTTGTTTAACATCCTGATCTTTCTCTTTTGTATAACCAATGCAACATATGTTTTGCATTGGTTAAGATATTTTGACTACAAATTATAACATTCTACCAAATTGTTTCTTCATCATAGGTTTATCTAGAATGAATTAAAAGTATGCTAAAATATTGATTCTTCCCAGTTCATGGAATAACTAAGAGAACCAGAGACTGGGCCAGTTGTCTCCTGTCAAATATGATTTCTATGTATGCTAGAAACTCAGAAAGATTTTAATCAGCATACTACATCAGAGCTGGGGTTGTAGCTCAGCGGTAGAGCGATTGCCTAATATGTGTGAGGTACTGAGTTTGATTCTCATCTCCACATATAAATAAGCAAAGTAGGGCTGGGGTTGTGGCCGAGCAGTAGGTAGAGTGCTTGCCTAGCATGTTCAAGGCCCTGGATTCGATCCTCAGCACCACATAAAAATAGAATAGAATAAAAGGTGTTGTGTACGACTACAACTAAAAAATAAAATAGTAAGTAAATAAATAAGCAAAATAAAGATCCATTGACAATAAAGAAAAATAAAAAACACTATATCAGGAAGCTCCCCACTTTTTATTCCAAATCACCTACTATTATGCTGAAAATGAAAGTAATTATAAATCTTAAAAACAAAGAGGGTAGTACTTTTGCATCCATTTAGCAGAGGAATTCCTTTTGGCAAATTAAATATGTAAAACTTACTATCTGGAAAAAGTTATATTAATTCTATCATAAACATACAAATCTGACAAGATAAACTTAACATCAAAATGAATAATTATAGCAATGGATTATAACCTATTGGCAAAAATAGAAATCTCTGAAGTTATGCTGATATCAACAAGTAGATTAGGTTGAAAATTTGGTAAGGAAAGGGATATTTACATAGCCTAAGTGGTAGCCTACAAAATATTATGTACAAAGGTAAAATGTAATTTTACTTTGAAGAAGCCTGGAATATTTTTCCTTAATCAAATGATCAAAGTTAACATTCTAATTATGAGTCATCACATCTATGAAATTCCTGGCAAACTTGCGTCATTCAGTTTTAACCATGAGGAAACATTAACACAATCCAAATTTGAAGGACATTCTACTAAGTAACTAGTTTGTGTTTTCAAAATTGTCTAGGTCAGGAAAGCCAAAGAAATCAAAGAACTATTCCAGATTGAAAACTTGAGACCAAGTGCAGCACTTGATTTTTAACTGGATCCTTTTACTAAAAAGGACGTTATTAATACAAATGGTAACACTTAAATGGGACTTAAGAATTAGATGCTAGTAAAATAGCAATGTTGATTTTCTGATTTTATGGGTTACATTGTAACTATATATAAACATCCTTTTTCACGGAAAATATATACTAAATTATTCAAAGTCAACAGAAACTTATGTTAACAATTTACTCTCTTATGGTTTTGGAAAAAAATTACTTGTCCTGAACTTGTAACATAATTTTTGATATTTTTAAATCAAATTTCCCAAATGAATGTTTACATTTATCCTAAAAACCTCAGGGCTCAATTCTGATCTCTCCATCCAAGTGCTCTTTATTAACCATTCATAAGTGCTGTCTTTTCCAAGCTGTTTTTTTTTTATTTATTCTTTTTAGTTATACATGACAGTTGAATGTATTTTGGCATACTATACATGCATGGAATATAACTTCTCATTCTGTGGTTGTACATGATGTGGAATTACACTGGTCATGTATTCATATATGACCATAGGAAAGTTGTGTCCAGTTTATTCTTCTGTCTTTCCTATCCCATTCCCCCTCTTTCCTTCATTCCCCTTTGTCTGATCCAATGAACTTCTATTTTCTCCTGCCCCTTATTGTGTGTTAGCATCTACGTATCAGAGAGAATGCTTGGCCTTTGGTTTTTTTGGGTTTGGCTTATTTCATTTAGCATCATAGTCTCCAGATCCATCTTTACTGGCAATTGCCATAATTTCATTCTTCTTTATGGTTGAGTAATATTTCACTTTGAAAATATATATATATAAACCACATTTTCTTTATTCATTCAGCTGTTGGAGGGCACCTAGGTTGGTTCCATAGCTTAGCTATTGTGAATTGAGCTACTGTAAACATTGATGTGGCTGCATCACTATAGCATGCTGCTTTTTATCTATCTATTTATTTTAGTTGTAAATGTACACAATGTACCTTTATTTATTTATTTTTATGTGGTGCTGAGGATCGAACCCAGTGCCTCACACATGCTAGGCAAGCACTTTACCACTTAGCCACAACCCCAGCCCTGTAGTATGTTGATTTTAAGTTCTTTGTGAGATTTCTTTTATGTCTCAGTCTGCCATTTTATTTAGGAAATTTGATATTGTTTAACTGATTTGATATTTTATATGTCTACATTTCTTATTAAAAAACTTCATATTATTTTTTTCTTTACTCAAAATCTTCTCTTAAACAATACTAATTATACGATGCTTCAAATATTTTTAAGATGTGGAATAAAAAATAATTGCATTCTAAAGCAAGGGAAAATGCCTATTGTTAGGATTATTTATTCCGATCTACAGAAACACAGTTGTGAGGGGAGAAAAAGGCCATTTAGTCATTAAGAGTTTTGTAACCACCTACATTTTGTTGCCTTTTTAGCCATTTTTTAAGCCCATTCTCCTTTGCACAGTAATTTTTATTATTATTGACCTACTGTTTTATATCTTGGTTTTTCCCCTTTACATTTTGAGTATTTGGTTTAAATCCTTTTCTTTTCTCTTGATGAATATTTTCCAATGTCATTAAATGTTCTTTGACAACAAATAATATTTCCTCATATAAATGCAATGTTAATTTACTAATAATCATTCTTCTGTTCCTTCATAAATATTTCTATTTTTGTTATAAGTTTTATTTGGATGATAGCCTTAAATGTTATTTGTGACTCTGGCATAACCTCAGAAATGCACACAAAAGCTTGAGCTATATATTGAGAATCCATTCTCTGAATTACTGTACCAGTTTATATCCTCTGTATAGAAAGTATTTATTTCAATACCCCATTGGAATGTTTTCAATAATAGCCAATGCAACATTTCATCAGTTTTCTTAGGGAAAGGAATGATCATTGTTCAGACAAGAGCTAATAACTTGTCCATAAAGACATTAACATAGACTATAGATTAAGCCAAGCTTCCTTTTATGAAGTAATCATCTCAACAGGCAAGGTATAGGTCTTTTAGCTGTTGTGTTGAATAGCAGGCAACCAGACAGAAAGAAGCTACACAAAACTTTTTTGTAAACTCTTGGTCTATTTTAGTAGAAATTCTTATGGTTTCTTCATTGAAATCGTTATTAAAGTGCAGTTATTATTGAGAATTTGGTTAAGTGATAGAACACTTGCCTAGCATATACAAGGCCCTGGGTTCACTCCCCAGTACTGGAAAAAAACAAACAGAACAACAACAACAAGAACAACAACAAAACACCTGCTTTTGACAGAGAAAGACAAGCCCTTTATTCTATTTTTTTTTCTTTCTCTGTTATGACACTTGAAATATATGGATACTATGATTAATAAAACTGCTAAGACATTGAATGTACTTGTAAAATTTTCACCCCATTAATAAGCGCAAACAAAACTTGATAGTATTTTTTTTTCTTATTTAAATTTTTTTGGTAGTTGTAGGTGGAGAGCATACCTTTATTTTATTTATTTATTTTTATATAGTGCTGAGGATCAAACTCAGTGCCTCACACACGCTAGGCATGTGCTCTGCCCCTGAACCAAAACTCCAGCCCCTGATAGTATTTTAAATACAAAACAAAACTTTACTGCATCTTAAAAAGAAAAAGAAAAAAAAAGGGCATCAGCATAGTTTAAGACCTAGAAATAGAAATGATCTGATTAGTTTAAGAATTAATCATTTTTAGAACTGATATTGTTAATTTCAAATTGGTACGTCTTTGCTTTCTTTGCTGTAGGAACTTTATAGTGGTAGCAGAGACTGCAATATTCTTGCTTGGGTACCATCCTTATATGAACCAGTTCCCGATGATGATGAGGTAAATATTATTTGTACAAATGGTATATAGTTATTCCTAAATCATAAGAAATAAAGTTTTATTAGTTTATACAAGAGAGCTTTAAAAGTATTTCTTGCTGTTTTCTGATTATAAAAATAACTTGATATAACACATTTGAAAAATTTAGGAGAAAAATATCATAAGAAGAATATTAAATTTCTCAGGTTGGATTAAATAACAGTATATTTTTTATTTACTTCATTCTTGGTTTCTTCCTATGCATATATTTCTTTCTTCTTATTTTTAGCCAAGGACCCCAAGCTTTCCAGGCAAGTAACTGTTCTACCACTAAGATACCCTCCTAGCCACTGCTTTTTTTTTTTTTAAACACAGTTAATATCATTATTGAACATATAACTTGGTATCTATTTTAAACTGTATCTTTAATGATATAGTGTTGCATCATCTGTATACCACAAATTTAAATATTTGTATCTATTGCTTTTAAACAGCATCAAGGTAAATATCTATTCACAAATTTTTTATTCTTTCTTCTTTTATTCCTTCCTTATATTGGGGGTTGAACCCAGGGGTACTTTACCACTGAGCAACATCCCCAGCCCTTTCATCCTTTTATTTTCATTTTGAGTAGTCAAAGTTACCCAGACTTGCCTCAAACTTGCAATTGTCCTCTCTCAGCCTCTACTACAGATATTTATGATTATTTCTTAGGCTAACATTCCTGGAACCTCTTGAGTTACCATGTATGACATAATTAAGTCTCAATTTCATGCTGCTAGATTTTACCAATTTACACTTCTAATATTTTATAATCTAACTGTACCTATCTTAGAGTGTAAATTAGAATAAATAGGACAGCATGAATAAAGAGCCTTAAAAGTGTAATGGGTAAACAAAGATGAGTAAGACATGATCCCTACCCTTTAGTAGCCTCTTTTTTCAAAATTATTATTATTTTTACTGTATGTCAAGCTGTAGTAAAATAAAAGTTGTCTAAAGATGCTTTCTCTTTCTGCAAGGATTATTCTATTCAGTACTATTAATAATTTCCATTTATATTAATTTCTAGGATATAAAAAGTTTGGTGTCTAGGGGCTGGGGTTGTGGCTCAGTAGTAGAGCATTTGTCTAGCACGTGTGAGGCCCTGGGTTCGATCCTCAGCACCACATAAAAACAAATTAAAATAAAGGTATTGACAACTACAACTAAAAAATAAATATTTTTTTTAAAGTTTGGTGTCTAAAAGAATGCTTATATAATTTTATAAACTGGCAGTACAAATACATTTAGAAATATGTTAAGGTAAACTTAACCCAAGTGATAGTAAAAACAAAGTATCTTAAATAGAGATGGAAGGAAGTTATTGATAAAATCATTTGATATTCTAAAAACATTTTTCATATGTTTAGTTCCTTTATGAATATAGGACTATGTCAAAAGCCACATGAAATAAAAATTTAACAGGGATAGTTAATAGCATCTAGCTAATAGCTATTGATAAAATATATTTCATGCCTATATTTGTAGTTGCTATAGTTTACTGTGGCATAAAGCCTCTGAACTGTGAATTGTTTTCTTTTGGCCTAATCCAAATGAAAGGGAGAAAAAAATACATGTTGATAAATCTTTGAGCATCTGGCCAAATGCCATATGAATGTTTCCGGAATTCATCACGTCTAATTTGGTTCATTGTGGCTTGATTGATTTTAGCAACAACTATTTTTGATGGCTGAATAATCTGTAGAAAGCTTAATATGGTCAAAAAATTTGTGTTGTATCTGCTCTGTGGGAATTACAGTACACATTAAATCAAAATTATAACACTACAGGCCATGTTAGGAAGTATATAATCACCAAATCAAAATAATAAAAATAAATTTAAAGAAAATCTATTATGACATATAAATAAAAGAATATTAAAGTACATCTAAATTGCTTATTATAAAGATAATTTGTAACTTTGATGGCTTCTTCATTTCCTTGTTTTGTAGTTATACTGACAATTTAAGCTCATCTAAAAGACTTGCTTTTATGTATGAAAATTAAGCAAAACAATTAGAAGAACACTGAAAACAAGCTGAGCTTTATATTCAAGTCTTAGAGCTGTACAGCCTTATATGTTTTTGGCGAGGGTGGGGTGGGGTGGGGATCCAGGGTTTGAACTTAGGGTCACTCATTTAGAGATAGGGTCTTAATGAGTTGCTTAGCAACTTGCTTTTGCTGAGGCTGGCTTTAGACTCGTGATCCTCCTGCCTCAGCCTCCCAAGCCGCTGAGATTACAGGCGTATGCTGCTGTGCCCGGCTAAGCCTTATCTTTTAAAATATCTATTTATATGCTTTCACTTTAGAATAGCAGTCATTCTCATATTAGTATAAAGTGGTATGTGCTAAGGTTATTTCCATAAAAATTTAGTTTGAAAGATTCCTGTGAATGTAGGTAGAATATGAATATGACCATGATGCAAATTCCAGTAGAAAAGTTGGTCTACACAAGAACCTTTTTCTTACCATTTAATTCATATTCAAAAGTGTTTTCATCTTGACTATCAAATAAATGAGTATTGTAGATTCACAGGGGAGCAATGTAGTATAATGCAAAACAATTCACACCAATACATATGCACATATGTACTAGGTTTTTAGTTTTAGGTAAACCTGGGTTTGAATTCCAGTTTTGCCATTTGTTTCCGAGTTCTGCCAGTGTATTATGGGACAAGTTTATGACATTTTTTTAAAAAAAATTAGCTGTACATAACACAACACCTTCATTTTATGTATGTATGTATGTATGTGGTACTGAGGATCTGACCCAGTGCCTCACACATGCAAGGCAAGCGCTCTTACCACTGAGCCACAACCCCAGCCCCAAGTTTATGACATTTTCAAATATCAGAATTGCCAAAGTTGTTCTTAGGTTTCCTTTCAAATTTTATACTTCTGATGAGATTTTATTTCTTCATTAACCAAAATATAATCCCTTCGGGTATTTCTCCCAATATCCAAAATAGAGGAGGACTTTAATTCTATCTAAAGAACCTGAAGGGTATTGAATGATAGGGTCAGTCAGGTTTTATGGTCTTCAAGCATAATTTTTGTTACTTAATTGTCAAGCTGTTTTATTAAATCCTGAGGAATCTGCTCCTCCCCCACTTCCTACTTGGTTATGGTTAAGTTAAGCTTATCTGAACTCTTAATCACTTTTTCCTTCTGGAGATTCATAGGACAGGTACAGCTTAAATCTGACTTCTCAACAAGACTCCTACTTTAGTTTTGACAGTCACATAATATATAACTGTTTCACGTCTATCTTATGTAGATACATAATACTTACTGACACAGAAACCCTGAAATTTTCCAGTAATTATCACTCAGAAATTTGAAAGTTATCAAGATATAATCCTGACAAATGTTTATTTTGGACTCATTTCTCCTTTCCATTATTTGGACTCTAGAGTAGATGCCCCTTTCTTCATTCCCGTAGCACTCACTACTCTGTCAAGTACATCAACCAACCTGGTGAGATAGAGATGACTATGTTCAAGCATAGATTGGATGTCCACTAGGAGGAGATGTTGTAGAGAAAACTGAAGAAATTGAAGGTGGTTACACATAAAGTTGTAGTAAAATAAAATACGTAATAAAACATGTAATAAAAATGTGGGTGGATTTAATATACATATTACTCTTTGGGAATCTCAAATGGTAATGTGTACTAAGTCCATCTACATTTTTATTGGAGCTTTTAACTGCAAGTATGACATCTTATTTGTGATTGTTTTAGTAATAAAATGTATTTCTAGTGTTCTTTTGTTTACCATAGCAAAATAGGGTTAGCAATGCAGTCTGATCGCTGTAACAACTAAAAGGAATACCTAAGTTAATATATTGCTTTCCAGCCATCCTGGAAATTTACTTGGACTATTGGCTTTTTCTATTCTTTTCATTATAAGATTCTAAGTCGTCTTGTTCACCAAACATAAGTTGTTAAATTAACAGTACTCTTGGCACTAATATGTTATTGGAATTTGGATCTGAACAAACCATAGCAAATGTAAAAGCTGCAGAATAAGCAGCAGATCTGATTCATATGCCAAGAAACTTAAAAAAAAAAAAAAAACAACAACTTAAAAGTCTTCTAGTTATTTGCTAGATAGCCACTCTAGTTTCCCAAACAAAGGAATTGATTTGATAATTCACAGATAATTAAAATTTCTCAAGATGCTGATTACCTTTATTAGGTATGGCACTGAACTTATGAGAATACTGTAATGTTTTCTTGTTATTTTAAGTAAAGACTTTTCAAATGCTTGTTACTCTTTAGAGAAATCTTCCAGGAAATCCTATGTGTTAATTACAGACATGTTACCATTTTTGATGAATGTTGCATGTGCTTCTAACCATATACAAATAAACACACCTCACCATTTAATAACCTTTGGACTAAAAATGGTATTGTTCAGCTTGATGAACAGCTTATTCCTCATATGTGGATGTTTGTTTATTTATGAATGTCAAGCCCATCCAAACAGTAAAAAGTTGGCAGTATTAATATATGGTAATGTCAAGTTAAACTGTAGACCTGGAGTCCAGTCTTAACCCCATGGAAGTCAATGTTCAACTTTCTGCAGATAATTCTTAAGAGTTGCAGAAATACCTTGAATAAAAGCATTTTATATATATATATATATATATATATATATATATATATATATATATATATATATATATAAGCATTATATATGTGTGTGTGTATATATATTTGGAGGTGATCACTTTCAGAGAAATTCAGATTATTTGGATAATGTCCCATATATCTGTTTTTTAGGGGGCAGGTACTGGGGATTGAACTCAGGGGCACTCAACCACTGGACCACATCCTCAGCCCTATTTTGTATTTTATTTAGAGACAGGGCCTCACTTTTACTGAGGATGGCTTTGAACAAGTGATCCTCCTGCCTCAGCTTTCCGAGCTGCTGGAATTACAGGCATGAAGCACCACACCTGGCTGATATATCTGTTTTAAATGGAGTTACATTATCTTATTGTATTGGGGGGCATTTCATATATTACTTTTGTTTTGAAATTAGCAATTATACAGTTTCTTTCAAAATAATCTAATTGCTGTTCATCTGAGCCTAAAATTATGCAGTGGAAAAAACAATATCTTCCTCTTTCTTTTTCTTTGTTTAGAATACAACCAAATTGCAGTTAAATCCAGCTTTTGAAGATGCCTGGAGCAGCAGTGATGAGGAAGGATGAATATCAACCTTTTTGTCTCTACTGATGAAACTTTTGAAACAGCACTGTTTGTGTGAGATTTTTTTTAACTGTTCAGTTACTGACAATTAAATTAGCTTCAAATTTGGATGATAGTTTTTCCTCATTTTTTAAAATGAGGTTACCATTTGTATAAAGTCCTGAAACAGTCTTCCATACCCGTTTATTTAATCAGAATTTGGCTATTTAATCTCAGTTGCTGTGGCCAGGAGCAGCCACTGTTGCTACAATACAATAGCAGAAGTTGTATCTGAGGTGAGATTGTAACAGATTGTCAAACCTGTGTAAAATTCTTTCTTATTGATATATTCATATTTTGCTATGATTTTATTTAACTGTGGATCATCTAGCTTTATGTTAAACAGTTTTGGACTTATTATCTCCTGCCATCCAAACAGTACATCACAGGAGGCTTTTAACTGGTGACATCTCATGTTTGCTTGAAGTCAGAAGCAGCTTGTACGCTCAAGCTTAAACTCCTTTCTATGAAACTAGCTAAGATTTACCATGTCCTGCCTCATTCATCCAAGCAAAAAATGTCCCAGGAGGGAATCTGGCTTAAACATAAAATGTTATCATAAAATTTCTATTTTATTCTCCCTTTTTCCTGTGTCAACCCACAAATGATATTATTATGAAGCTAACTTTTCTTTTAAAAAAAAAAATTGCTGGGGATTAAACCCAAGGACTCACACATGTTGGTTAAGTACTTTATCAGTGAGCATCCCCAGCCTCTATGAAGCTAATCTTATATTTTCTTTCTTCCTGATTCTTTAACCAGCAGGAGACTAGAAAAAGAGGTTTTTGTGAACTTGGATACTAAGTTCATGCTTATTTTTCAGTGTGTTGAGTTTTTAAAGTATATAACTGTTAGACCTCATGTCAGACCTTTCTGGTCAAATATTTTCCATACAAGAGTTTTCTGAAACCCAGAGTATTCTACTTTCACTTTTCTCCCCTCCTGATGGGGATGCTTTTGACCTTTGAGAAAGGTATTAAAATAGGATTTTTTTTTTAATTTTAAGAAAAAATAAGTCTTCTAAACTGTAAAGAATTGTATTGCTTCTTTCTAGTTATCTAAATATATGTATTCATTGTAAATAATTCAGACAACATAAAAACTTAAAAAAGAATGTAATGGGGGCCTGGGGGTTGTAGCTCAGTGGTAAAGTACTTTCGAGGCACTGGGTTTGATTCTCAACGCCACATATTAATAAAATAAAGATTCATTGACAACAACAAAAAAAGAAAGAAAGAAAGTAATGGCCACCTAGAATCAATACTCTAAGGTAACCATCACTAACATTTTGATAGCTATTCTCCATGCATCTCTCTATGACACAGTTTTACATAGTCGGATGTTCAGCATGCCAGTGTTATCATAGAAACTCCTTTCTTCTAACTAGAGTACTTCTTTCTTCATCTCTTACCCCTCTTGCCACAATCCAGGTTATTAACCTGGTGTGTGTTCTTTCATATTACAATCTTATATAGACCTAAAGAGAAATGTGGGTTTGTATTTTTAATTTTATAAAAATGAGATAGACATAGTTCTTTTTCTTTTTTTTTAGATACAACTCTTATACATCCCTCCATGCCATCTTTGTATAAAGAAGCCATTCTTGTTACTAACTGCATAATGTTCCATCTTATGATTATGCCACAGTTTTTTTCCAGTCATTCTTGAGAACAGTATAGATTATGAACTGCACCATATTTTCCTTAGGTGGTGTTGTGGTTTGGGTATAAACTGTCCCCCAAAGACTCATGTGTTGAAGGCTTGGTCCCTGGCGCAGCAATGTTCACAGGTGGGGCTTTTGAGAATTGATTGGATTGTGAGGGCTCTGGCCTCATCTGTGATTAAGCCACTGATTCATATTTGATGGAAGGAATAAAAACTTTAGATGATGGCACCTCATTGAGGAAAGAAGATCCCAGGGGTCATGTCCTTAAGGAGTATATCTTATCCCTTTATTCCCACTTCTTTGTGCTTCCTGGCTGGTCAGCATCAGCTTTCATCTCCTACACTCTCCCACTATGATGTTCTGCCTCACCTTAGTCCCAAAGCAGCAGAACCATCTTACCATAGACAGATCTCTGAAACTGTGAACCAAAATAAATCTTTCTTCCTTCAAGTTGCTTTTCTCTAATATTTGTCACAGTAGAGAAAAGGTAACTACCATAGGTGGTCTATTTGGGCAGTACAGTTTACTTACTGAATATTATCTTTTCCTCTGGTAGAGGAAATGGTACTTTTGCTATGTGTAGGATTCTTGGGTTGTAGTCCTTTTCTCTCCTTAGTTTATAAATATTGTGTACTCTTTCTTCTAACTTCTCATGTTGCAGATGAGAATCCCAAAGCCAGTTTTATTTATTTATTTCCCCCTTTGTAGGGAACTCATTCTTTATAGTGGAAGCTTGTAAAATGTGAGGTTTTTTTTTTTTTTTTTCCTTATTCTTACAATCTTTCAATTTTGTCAGAATATCTGATCCTTTATCCCTCTCCCTCCCTCCCTCTTCCCACCTCCCATCACTTCTTGGACTACTGAGCTCTTTCATCTTTCAGTCTAAAGGCTCAAACTGTTTCTTGGCTTAGGCTATTTTCTTCTAATACTTGTCTGATTAAATTGCTTCTCCTTGTAGTTGTCATTGTTATCATCCTCCTCTCCATTTTTTTTCTGCCTCTTCTTCCTCTTCCTTTTCTTCCTCCTCCATAATAATTACATGTAACATCTACATTAACCTTTTATACTCTTTTCCTTCCTGCTTGTCTTTTGTGGTATTATTGTTGTGACTAGAGTACCCCACATATAATAGGTGCTCAGTGAGTACTTGTTTTGTTGTTTCTGTTCTTTACTTGAATGTTTATGCTTGATTTTAAAAGTCATAATTTGGGCTTGACTGGTCATCAGGAGAGACTTCAATTATTGTTTTGTTCCCTTCTCTACCCTAAACACTTATTTTTTTAAAAGCACTTATAGAGAAATATGGGAGGTCTACAGAAGCTTCTACTTGAAACTTTAAATAGTATTTGTTCAGTTGATGTTTTCCAAGGCCTATTCACAGTAGATATCAAGGAACCTATCATGAAAGCAGTATTTGCTTAAAACTCGTCTGCAGTGTCTTGAACATTTTACATATTTTTCTTCCACACTGTCTTACTAATAGTATGCATCTTTTAGTCACATAAAATATTTCTATCCTGTTGTATGTCAAAGAATACTCATGCCAGTTTTTTTACTTCATCTCAACTTGACCCTAGTTTTAACTAAAGTCGTTCATGCTACAACTATGAAACACTTAGTTTTCAAAAACATAGAAATAATAAATGTACATGTTGTATTGACATAGCCCTAAACCTGTTAATCAGCAAACCTAAAAGTAGTGTCATTGAAAGTTTTGACCTCTCTGACACTTGATACCAAGCCTTTACTTTATAATTGATTAAAAAAACATTAAAACTGTTTGCTTCAAGTTAAGCTTTCCTTTTGCATTGGTTATACTAAAAGGTTCCATTAAACTAGATTAAAAAAAAAATAGAGAAAGCTTTGAAAACAAACCCTTAAATTATACCAATTATGAGAATACAAATAACTTTAAAATGATGACTTTTCATTAAGGAAGAAAAAAGTATATAGAGTTCACTATTGATGAGACACCAGAAAACAAAAACCTTTAGCTATCTTATTTTAAAATTTGAATAAGACAGTGATAGAAAAAGTTTATATCAACAGACTAGTCCAAATTATCTTTCAAAGATAAATTACTGCCTCAAAATGGAAAGAAAAATCCCCAATTATATGTTGAAATAAGGGTTGCATAGTTTTAACTTAAAAATATTTAATTACTGTTCAGTAATATATTAGTACTCAGTTATTCCTATTAAGTGATACAAGTATAGAAGACTAGAAAAGCCTCAGCAATTTAACAAGGTCCTAAGCAATTTAGTAAGATCCTGTCTCAAATAAAAAGGTCTGGGAATGTGGCTCAGTGGTAAAGTAGCCCTGGGTTAAATCCACAGTAACCCCCTCAAAAACCAAACAACAACATAAAAGAAAAATTGTCCACAAGGGTTTATAATTTAGTTGGATAGTCAATGATAAATATCAGAACATACAGGTTACATCTAAGATGTCTTCCAAAGTGCAGTTCCCTCAACAACTACATCAGAATTATATTGGATATACACCCACAGGAATAGCATCCTAATTAGAATAAAGTTGTACTCTATGTATATAACATGCCAAAATATACTCTATTGTCATGTATATCTAAAAAGAACACATTTTTTTAAAAGGAATTATATTGGATATGTTAAGATACAAATTCCTTGGCTCACTCCAAACCTACTAAGTCAGCATCTTTGAAAATATATTTCCAGGAGCCCTCGTTTTAACATCCCAGTGATTCTGACTAAAGTTTGAGAATCAGTGACAAAATTAAATCCATAAGAGACAGACATAGAGTAAGAAGTAGCTGGTAAGGACTCAGTCTTCTCTCAAAGAATGGAAACTATTAAAAAGAAATAAAATGGTAATTATTCACAGGGTTATCATCATCTCAAGAGAAATCAAACTCAAGACATAACTGCTAAAAGGAGAGTTCAGTAAAGACAAAGGATACACTACACAAAAATTAGAAACATTTTAATATTTGTAATTATAAAATGTAACCTTAAAAATACATATACAATTGATAGCAGTAGAAATAATTATGAGGTTCCTAAGAATAAGCCTAATAAAATATGAGAAATATACAGAGAAAATTTAAATTTTATTGAAGAAGACAATATACATAAATATAGAAGTAATGTGTTTATTATAAAAAAGTGGCAAATTATCCCTAGATGACTTTATGTTATTATTATTATTATTTATTTTTTTGGTACTGAGGATGGAACTCAGAGGCAGTTAATCACCAAGCCACATCCCTGGCCCTTTTTTGTTTTAGCTATAGTTGAACACAATACCTTTATTTATTTTTATGTGGTGCTGAGGATCGAACCCAGGGTGCGTACATGCTAGGTGAGTGTTCTGCTGCTGAGCCACAACCCCAGCCCATCCCTGGCCCTTTTTATTTTTTATTTTGAGACAGGGTCTTGCTCAGTTGCTGAGGCTGGCCTCAAACTTCTGATCCTCCTGCGTCACTGGTATTACAGGCATGTTCCCGGGCATGCCCAGCTCTTAGATAACTTTAAGGCAATTAAAATCAAAATTCTACCTTAGTTTTATGTAGAAAAAAGGAAATAAAACTGGTTTGTAGAAAAATTGTATGTAGAAGGCCTTATGCTATAGCTCAGCGGTACAGCACTTGCTTAGAATGTGCGACATCTTGAGTTTCATCCCCAGGACTGTAACATCAAAAAATCAAAAAGAAAGAAAAAGTAGGTAGAAGCTGGGCATGCTGGTGCACACCTGTGATCTCAACAACTTGGGAAGCTGAGGTAAGAGGATCACAAGTTCAAAGCCAGTCTCAGCAATTTAGTGAGACCCTGTCTCAAAAAATAAAAAGGGCTGGGGATGTAACTCAGTGTTAAAGAGCCACTGGGTTCAATCCCTAGTAGTAAATTATTTTAATTAAATGAATAAATTAATAAACTGTTCATAGAATAGTAAAAGAGAATGGAAACTCAAGACAAGAAAAATAGAGAAAGGAATGAATTCAAGAGCTTAGACACAGAAGCACTTGCCTGGGGATCTTTTTTTTTTTTTTTTTTTATTGCTTTTTTAACCATAATGGAATTTTTCTTTCTTTTTTTTTTGAAAGAGGAGGGACACCTGAAACTCATCACAGCAAAGGGCTAACTCCCCTATGACCTTCATTGAGGCCTCTCAGAATTTGACAGAAAATAAACAGAGGATAGAAATAGTTTACTGAAATGCAAATACAAATGACTTTTTAACATACAAGACAGCAACTAATCTCACCATTATGTTTTATTATAATGCACCAATAAAATGTGGAAAAAAGCATACAGGACAGATGTTCAGTCTCATTTACTTTAAGGTGAATGCAAATGGAAGCTACTGAAACATTCTGTATTTATTAAGATGACAAACATCCAAACACTTGATAACACACTGTGTTGGTAAGGCTTTGGGGGAAAATGACACTTTTGAATATTGTTGGCAGAGTGTAAATTAATGCAACTCTATATGGAAGGCACTTTTTTGCAATAGCTATCAAAAATCACAAATATCCTGTGAACAAACAGATATCAGTGTGCAAAGTAATTCATTGTAGCACTGTGTCTAGTTAAGAGTTTGAATACTAGAATCTAATAGCCTGGTTTTCAATCCCAATTCTAATGCTAGCATTGTGTCCTTGGGTAAATTATAAAATCATCTGTGCCTCAATTCCTTTATCAGCAAAATGGAGGCAAAAATATCATCCACCTCTTTGAGTTGGAGGGAGAATTAAATGAGTTAATCTTTGTAAGCAGTATTTACAAAAGTACCTGGCCCTTCGATGCCTGTTTTAGCTATTGTTTTTAACATCAAAAGACTGTAATGTAAATATTTACCAACAGGGAACTGATTAAATAATATGGCAGATTTATACAATATAGACGTAAAAGATGAATAAATGTAGTTTTATGAAAGTACCTCTAAGATATATTTAGTGGGGGAAAAAGCGAGGAATATGGACAATATGTAAAGTATTATAGTATTTGTTTGGGAGTTTTGTTTGTTTGTTTCATTTTATTTTATTTGGTACTAGGGTGTGAACCCAGGGGCACTTTATCACTGAGCTACATCCCCAGAACTTTTTTTTATTTTTTGAGTCAGGGTCTCACTAAATTGCTCAGGCTGGCCTCAAACTTGTGATTCTCCTATCTCAGTCTCAGGGGTTTCTGGGAGTATAGGCATGTGCCATGAGCCATACATATTCTATTTGTATGAAAAAAAGAGAAAGAGAGAGACTAGCAGAATATGTTGTTTTATATATGTATTACAGAAAACTCTGGAAGGATACTGGAAAGGCCTGATAGGACAAAAGACAGAAAGGGGAATTTTTCACTATATACGTTTTTATATGAAAGGCATGTGCATATATTACCTGTTTAAAAACTATATATACCCCCACTCCCACACACACACACACACACACAGAGGGGATTTAACCCAGGAGCACTTTACCACTGAGCTACATTCCCAGCTCCTCCCCTTTTTAATTTTTATTATTATTTTTAAATTATGAGACTGGGCTGGCCTCAAACTTGGGGTCCTCCTGTCTCAACCTCCAGAGTTTCTAGGATTATAGAGGCCTGTGTCACCATTTTCAGCTAAAAAGAATAATTTTAAAACAGTTCAGATGCACTAAAGATCTGTATATCAGAGAATCTACGAAGTCTGAAAACATCAAATGTCAAGGATTTATGGAAATATGGGCTAGTATATATTGTAGTGGAAGTGTAAACTGATATTATTAAGAAAGCAAGGCAGTTAGTGTTTTGGACTAAATATCAGTCCTCCGCAAATTCATTTAGTTTACTGAACTGCAAATACAAATGACTTTTGGTGGGCCTTTTAGAGATAATTAGGCTTAGATTAGGTCAGGAAAGTAAACCTCACTTCTTGCCAAATGCAGAGACATAAGAAGAAGAATAAAGGGCCATGGGAAGACACAGTGAGAAAACAGCTATCTGCAAGCCAAGAAAAGTGTTCTAACCAAAATTTGACCTTGGAAGCAACCTAACCTTGGAATTCCAGCCCCCAGAACTATAAGAAAATAAATGTGTATTGTTTAAGTCACCTAGTATATGGCATTTTGTTGTAGTATCCAAGCTGAGTCTGGGGCCTTAGTCATAAGCAGTAGAAAATAACTCTGGTTGGTTGTTTTTAAACAGAAAAGGAGCTTAGTGAAAAAAATATTAAGATGATTACAGAATCTCCAGAAGGACTGGGTAACAACCTTGGGAACATAGGAGAAAATGGACTCTGTGTTGACAAACCAGAGCAAGCTTTAATGCCACTAAACTAGTCTGGGGAGCCATCTCCACCACAGGAAAACACAACTTTTTTTCTCTCTTTTTTAATTGATTTTTTAAAAAAATAAATGACAGTGGAATGCATTACAATTCTTATTACACATATATAGCACAATTTTTCATACCTCTGGTTGTGTATAAAGTATGTTGATTCCAATTCATGTCTTCATACGTGTACTTTGGATAATGATGTTTATCACATTCCACCATCCTTACTAACCCCCTACACCCTCCTTTTCCCTTCCACCCCTCTGCCCTATCTAGAGTTCATTTATTCCTCCCATGCTCCCCCTCCCTACCCCACTATGAACCAGCCTCCTTATATCATAGAATACATTCAGCATTTGGTTTTTGGGGATTGGCTAATTTCACTTAGCATTATTTTCTCCAATGCCATCCTTTACCTGCAAATACCATGATTTTATTCTCTTTTATTGCTGAGTAAAATTACATTGTGTATATATGCCACATTTTTTTAATCCATTCATCTACTGAAGGGCATCTAGGTTGGCTCCAAAGTTTAACTATTGTGAATTGTGCTGCTATAAACATTAAGGTAGCTGTGTCCCTGTAGTATGCTGTTTTTAAGTCCTTTGGATATAGTCTGAGTAGAGTCATAGCTGGGTCAAATGGTGGTTCCATTCCCAGATTTCCAAGGAATCTCCATACTGCTTTCCATATTGGCTCCAATTTGCAGCCCACCAGCAGTATATGAGTGTACCTTCCCCACCCCGCCATCCTCTCCAACACTTACTGTTGTTTGTCTTCATAATAGCTGCCATTCTGACTGGAGTGAGATGATATCTTAGAGTAGTTTTGATTTGCATTTCTCTAATTGCTAGAGATGATGAACATTTTTTAATATATTTGTTGATTGATTGTATATCCTCTTCTGAGAAGTGTCTGTTCAGGTCCCTGGCCATTTATTGATTGGGTTATTTGCTGGGTTTTTTGTTGTTGTTGTTGTTGTTTTGTTTGTGCTTAGCATTTTGAGTTCTTTATATACCCTGGGGTTTGTGTTCTATCTGATGTGTGAGGGGTAAAAATTTGCTCCCAGGATGTAGGCTCTCTGTTCACCTCACAGATTATTTCTTTTGCTGAGAAGAAACTTTTTAGTTTGAATCCATCTCATTTATTGATTCTTCGTTTTAATTCTTGCGCTATAGGAGTCTTATTAAGGAAATTGGGGCTTAATCCCACATGATGACGATTAGGGACTACTTTTCCTCTATTAGACACAGAGTCTCTGGTTTAATTCCTAGGCCCTTGACCCACTTTGAGTTGAGTTTTGTGCATGGTGAGAGATAGGGAATTTAATTTCATTTTGTTGCATATGGATTTCCAGTTTTCCCGTCATCATTTGTTGAAGATGCTATCTTTTCTCCAATGCATGTTTTTGGCACCTTTGCCTAATATAAGATGATTGTAATTTTGTGGGTTAGTCTCCATGTCCTCTATTCTGTACCATTGGTCTACCAGTCTGTTTTGGTGCCAATACCATGCTGTTTTTGTTACTATTGTTCTGTAGTATAAAGATCTGGTATAGCAATGCAACCTGCTTCACTCTTCTTGCTAAAGATTGCTTTAGCTATTCTGGGTCTCTTATTTTTCCAGATGAATTTCATGATTGCTTTTTCTATTTTTATGAGGAATGACTTTGGGAATTTGATCAGAATTGCATTAAATTTGTACAGTGCTTTTGGTAGTATAGTCATTTTGATAATATTAATTATGCCTATCCAAGAGCAAGGTAGATCTTTCCGTCTTCTAAGGTCTTCTTTAATTTCTTTCTTTAGGGTTCTGTAGTTTTCATTGTATAGATCTTCCACCTCTTTTGTTAAGTTGATTCCCAAGGTTTTTTTTTTCTTTTTTTTTTTTTTGAGGTTACTGTAAATGGGGTAGTTTTCCTCATTTCCTTCTCAGAGGATTTGTCACTGATATACAGAAATGCCTTTGATTTATGGGTTTTGATTTTATATCCTGCTACTTTGTTGAATTTATTTACTAGTTCTAGAAGTTTTCTGGTGGAGCTTTTTGGGTCTTCCAGGTATAGAATCATATAATCAGTGAATAGTGCTAATTTAAGTTCTTCTTTTCCTATACATATCCCTTTAATATAATTGCTCTGGCCAGTGTTTCAAGAACTATGTTGAATAGAAGTGGTGAAAGAGGGCATCCCTGTCTTGTTCCAGTTTTTAGAGGGAATGCCTTTAATTTTTCTCCATTTAGAATGGTATTTGCCCGAGGCTTAGCATAGATAGCCTTTATGATGTTGAGACATGTTCCTGTTATCCCTAGTTTTTCTAGTGTTTTCAACATGTAAAGGTGCTGTATTTTGTCAAATGCTTTTTCTGCATCCATTGAGATAATCATAGGATTCTTTTTTTTTTAAGAGAGAGAGAGAGATTTTTTTTTTAATATTTATTTGTTATTTTTCAGCGGACACAACATCTTTGTTTGTATGTGGTGCTGAGGATCCAACCCAGGCCGCATGCATGCCAGGCGAATGCGCTACCACTTGAGCCACATCCCAGCCCCGATCATAGGATTCTGAAAGTCTATTGATGTGATGAATTACATTTATTGATTTCTGTATGTTGAACCAACCTTGCATTCCTGGGATGAATCCCACTTGATCATGGTGCACAATCTTTTCGATATGTTTTTGTATTCGATTTACCAGAATTTTATTGAGAATTTCTACATCTATGTTCATAAGAAATATTGGTCTAAAATTTTCTTTCTTTGATGTGTCTTTGCCTGGTTTGGGATCAGGGTGATATTGGCCTCAGAATGAATTTGGAAGTGCTCCCTCTTTTTCTATTCCTGAAATAAATTGAAGAGTATTAGTATTAGTTCTTCTTTAAAGGTCTTTCCTGTAGAACTCGGTTGTGTATCCATCCGGTCCTGGGCTTTTCTTGGTTGGTAACCTTCTGATGGTGTCTTCTATTTCCTCACTTGATATTGGTCTGTTTAAATTTTGTATATCTTCCTGATTCAATATGGGCAAATCATATGACTTAAGAAATCTTTCGATGTCTTCAATGTCTTCTATTTTATTGGAGTATAAATTTTCAAAATAATTTCTATTTTTCCTCTGTATTTCTATAGTGTCTGTTGTCTGTTGTACCTTTTACATCATGTATTCTGATAATTTGAGTTTTCTCTCTCCTTCTCTTTATTAGCATAGCTAAGGGTCTATCAATTTTATTTATTTTTTCAAAGAACCAACTTTTTGTTTTGTCAATTTTTTCAATTGTTTCGATTTCATTGATTTCAGCTCTAATTTTAATTATTTCTTGCCTTCTTCTGCTTTTGCTGCTGATTTGTTCTTCTTTTTCTAGGGCTTTGAGATGTAATGTGAGGTCATTTATTTGTTGACTTTTTCTTCTTTTAAGGAATGAAATCCATGAAATGAACTTTCCTCTTAGTACTGCTTTATAGTGTCCCAGAGATTTTGATATGTTGTGTCTATGTTCTCATTTACCTCTAAGAATCTTTTAATCTCCTCCTTGATGTCTTCTGCAACCCATTGTTCATTCAGTAGCATATTTTTTGGTCTCCAGGTGTTGGAGAAATTTTTATTTTTTATTTTGTCATTGATATCTAGTTTAATTCCATTATGGCCTGATAAAATGCATGGTAGTATCTCTACTTTTTTGTATTTGCTAAGAGTTGCTTTATGGCATATTACATGGTCTATTTTAAGAAGGATCCATGGCAAACCCAACTTCTTTATGGCACTAGCTTCAACTTCAGAATCATGGTTGGGGAATGGGAGTGGAGGGCTGTCTACCTGAGTAGGATTCAGCCACAACCATGTTCTTTGGCTTCCAAAATGTTTGGCAAAGAAAATAGCACACATTTGTATCTTCTGTAATGAGAGATGAGTTCTGCCATCCACTGCCTTATAAATAGGAATTTCTTCAAACAGAGTAAGAAGACTCAGATACAGGGCAGCTGAAAAATAATAAATGTCCCTGTAAGAGGACAATCTGTTTCATGATGAGCAATTTTACTTCTAAGTATAAACCCAAGAAATTTTTATATATGTATTCAAAAAATTATTACTTATATTCATTGTCTCTAAAAAGATAAAACTAGAAATAACTCCATTTTGTTCATTAGCAGGAAAATGGATAAATGGTTTAGTCATGCAATAGAATACGGGATAGTAATTAAATCAATGAAAAAGAACTATGGGTATCCATAGGAAAAAATCTTTACAAAGATTGAAAACAAAGTTGCAGAATACAGTATGCTACTAATTATATAAAATGTAACCATATGCAAAATTCCAGTGTATATTGAGATAGACTTATGTGTCATGAAAGTATGAAAACATGCATGGAATATGTAGATGACTTTGAGGGAATGAAAGAGATTAAGGTAGTTTGGAACTTTAGCTATCATATTTCTTAAAAAAAAAAAAAAAGCCAAATTTAGAAAACATTAGTAGTTGCACCGTGAACAAAGTCATTGTTTTAGACCTAACTAAAGACAGCTATTAATGCAAACTCCCTCTTCCCCCAGTAAGTGCCTGTAACTCTTAAGTTCCCTCCTGTTACTTAAGAGTGAATGTGTTTTTCTAGATTTAAGGCCAAATTCTCTTAACTGTGCACTAAATCCAGCCCCTCTCACCTACTCAAGTTGTCCTCTTTTCAACATCATCAGATTTTCCTTCTCTACCAAATTTTCCCCAAATACAAACATAGTATAAAAGTCACATCTTTAGCTGGGCGTGGTGGCACACACCTGTAATCCCAACAGCTTGGGAGGCTAAGGCAATGAATTCAAAGCCAGCCTCAGCAAAAGCAAGGTGCTAAGCACTAAGTGAGACCCTGTCTCTAAATAAAATACAAAATAGGTCAGGGGATGTGGCTCAGTGTTTATTCAAACCACAAAGGAGGAGGGTACAAGGAATTTCTTATTTCCTACTTCTTACCATTTCCTATTTTCCCCTTTTTTAAAAAAATATTTTTTTTAGTTATAGATGGACACAATACTTTTATTTTTTAAAATATGGTGCTGAGGATTGAACCCAGTGCCTCATATGCCAGATGACTGCACTACCACTGAGCCACAACCCCAGCCCCCCTATTTCCCCTTTTTACCATTAGCTCATTCCTTTGCTTTTTACCACAAAAATCCTTAGAACTATCTAAACTTCTCTTCTCCAGTTTCTCTCTTTCCATTTATTCTTGAAACTCATTCCACTCAGGTTTTCACTCCATTTCTCCAGAACTACTCAAGGGCAACCAATGAATTTCATATTGTTAAATCAGTTGTCACTTTCTAGTCCTCTGCTTTTGATACATTTGACATAGGTGATCACTTCCTTCACCTTGTAACACTTTGGTCTCTTGTTGTGATAAGAGTCTGGATTATTGTTCATTTTGGATTATTCATTCTATTTACCCCCCCTCTGTGGGCTGAATATATTTCCTACTCCACTGATATTGGACGTGGCTAGGTGACTTACTCTAGTCAATGGAAGATAAGCCAACATGATGTGAACAGAGGCCTTCAATATACTCTGGGATGTCCATATATGAATACATGACCAGTGTAATTCCACATTATGTACAAACACAAGAATGGGAAGTTATACTCTGTGTATTACTCTATTTATGTATAATATGTCAAAATACACTCTACCATCATGTATAACTAAAACAAATACAAATAAAAATTTTAAAATATATGTTCTGGGCTTTACATTGGCTTTTGTACTTCAGTGATCTATTTACTATTAGATCTCCAAACTGGATGCTACCTTTTCATTCTGGGCTCCAAAAAGAGCACACATGGAACAGACTGAAATTCAACCTACAACCTAAAGCTGGACCACTCAGTTGAGCACAGCCCAGAACAGCTGAACCAACCCTGAACAAACCCACAGACTTGTGGGCATGAGAACAAATATACGGCTATAGGTGACTGAGCTCTGGTGTTATTTGTTATGCAGCATTATTTCAGCATCACTCACTTAAGCATCCACCTTCTGAGACAAAATCACTCTCCTGATTTTCCTCCAGTTTCACTGATTGTTTCTCCTCATTATTCCTGACCATTTACTGTTAATGTACCCCCAGGACCCAACTTTCAAACCTCTTCCTTTTCCTTATTCTTGATCCTCTTAACCACTTTCATGTCTTTAAATATTATCCAGTTGACACTCCCAAATGTCTATTGCCAGCCTGGGCCTCCCTCTTGAATTTCAGACTGTTTCACCAACTGCCTACTTGACATGCCTACTTGAATATCTAATAGGATTCTCAAATTAGATCAGTCCCCTGCAAAATCTCAGCTCCTTTCAACTTTTTTTCTCTTTTAGTAAATGCCAAATTGCTCCTTCCATGTGCCTTAGGCAAATGCCCTGGAGCCATTCTTGATTCCCCACATCACATCCCATCAGATCCCTGAAAAATTCTGTTGATTCTACCTTCATAATATATTTTAAAAATCTGATCCTTTCATGACTACCAACCTGGTTCATGCAAACTTTATCTCTTATCTGCAATGAACAAGAGGCTCCTACTCATCTCCTTGCTTCTGCTGTTCCTCTCCTCTCCTTACTCATATTCCATTTTCAAAAATGTTGCCAGAAACACTCCTTTTGAAATGTCAGTCTGATGATGTCAATTTTTGGCTCAAGTTGATTCCTTCATCTTTAACCTTATTTATTTTTACTATCCTCACTCACTATAATTCAGCCACTGGCCTCCTTGCCATTCTGTGAACTTGAACGTCTCAGGCAAGCTCATTTCCATTGATTGCTGGTCCCACTGATTGGAATGTTGTTGCCTGGATTGATACACATGCTTGCCTGTCTCTTCAGAGTCTTGACTCAAAAACCTCCTTTCATTGAGGACTTTCCTAACCATTTTAACATTGCAACTCCCCACCTCCCATAGTCCCTAAAACCTTTCCTTCTTTATTATCTATTTATAGCACTTATTACAACCTGAACACTACCTATTTTTACTTGGTTATTCATTAATGTCATGAATTGTCATTCACAACTAGAATAAATGTTCAGTCCCTGAGAATAGGGAATGTTTTTTGTTTCTTTTGTTGTCTGTTGAATCATCAGATCCTGGAATATAGCAGCACTCAAATATTTGCTGAATGAATCTATTGAACCTTCTGCATATTTAAAATATCATATAGATAGATGTAGACCACAGGCAAGTGTAATTAAATAATTGTCTTTAATTCCCAAAGGATTCTCCAAATCTACTTAATGATCTATTTGCAATAGGATAGAGAAGTTTATCCAAAAGGAAGGATAAACTTTTTTAAACAGTTTCTTTGGCTTTAGGATTCTCTGAAATTTGAGCTTTCATGATTTTTGGCTTTCCTTTCAATGGCTACTAAGTGAGCCCTAAAAGTTTTAAATAAAACATTAAAACCTTATTCATGAGGAAAATGTGTTTCTGTCCCATTGATTGTTAATCTCCCTACCCACCATCCTAATTGTCCTGAATCTTTTTAAAAATCCTGATTACATGTTGAGAATTCACAGGACAACCCGATAGCCCATCTTAGTGAGATGCTTGGATCAGGACAGCGACTCTCAGGTTATTTGGGGGGTTTCTGGGTGACTGATCAATTCTAGCTCTTGTTTTTGCCTTTTCAGCAAGCACTTTGTCTAGACTTCTATTTGCCCTTCCCAGCCATTGACAATGATGCCATGATTCCAATCCTAACAACTGTTAACACGTTCATAACCAGACTCAAGATAAAAATAAATCTTTTAAAACTTACTTACCAGGCAAGTGAGATTTAAAAATAAATAAATAAAGTGCATATACATGGGTCTAACATTCCCTCTCCACTCTGCTTCCCAATCCAACAGCGGATAAGGAGAAAAGAGTATGTGAGACTGTTTTTGGAAGCAGTTGCTGTTACTAAAAAACAAACAAACAAAAAAAGCTACTATATACAATCTGCTCTTCATTGCTCTAATACACCTCTCTACCCTCAAATATTTGCAGAAATTCACTAGTTTCTTAATAATAAGCAGGGGATGAAGCTGGCCCAAATCAGGCCTGTTTATTTTTTTTTGGGGGGGGGGGGGGGTAGCGGTGGATCCTTGGTCTGGCTTCCATTTTAGATGTGAACCAAAATTCTGAATTTCAACTAGAGCTCCCCATTCTTCCTCTGCCTCCAGACTCTCCCTTGGGCAAATTTTTCCTCATTTCAGATTTTCCTACAACACATTCCCAGACGAGTCATGCATGACGACAGTTTTCACACCATTTATGTTCAGCCTTGGGATGACCCTAGGTGATGGCATTTGTACTCAGGAAGAAATGGAATTAGTACAAAGACCAGAAGCGGTCAGGAGTTCCCGGTCGGTCCTGGCTCTGCGCATCCGGCGCGTGGGGAACTGGGGAGTCTAGAGCCGCAAGCCTCAGCGGCGGCTCCCAGGACAGCCAACCGGCTCCTCCCTCCCGCCCCTCCGCCCGCACCTGGTGGCGGTGGCGGCGGCAGCCGGAGGGCGGGCGAGGGGCGGCGCTGCGCCGCGTGACGCGGCGGGGTGGGAGCACGGGCAGGTGACACCCGGAGGCCTCCTCCCTCTTATAGCCCAGTCGGCGGCCCGGGCAGCAGGGGCCGCTGTGAGGAGCTCCGCGCTCTAGCCGCCGCCCGCCGCCGCCCTCGCTCCCGGCACGGTGAGTGCGGGGCTGTGGGAGCAGAGGGCTGGGGCTAAACTTTTCTGGGGCGCGAAGAATAGCTTCGGGAGAAGGAAGGAGCCGTGGGGAAAGATGCTGGGAGCAGCCGATGGAGGAATTTAGGCACAGCGCACGGGGAGTGGGAGCCGGGTTCGGGGCGCTCGGGGCGCCCGGCCAGGCCCTCTTTGGGCTTGGGGAGGCTCTTCCGAAGTTCTTTCCTTACAGCCTGCGCTTGCGGAGGCCGAAGGACCTTGGCCAGAGCGCGGCGCCGCCGCGCTCACCTGAGCCTTTCTGGGTAGTCCCCTGTCGTCCAGCATCCCAAAGGGAAGGTCGCGGTCAGGGAGTGCGCGGCGGAGCGGAGCTGGGACTGTGGGTCCCACGCTGCTAAGCCCTGCTGTGCCGGGAGGGAGGGACCGAGGTGCTCGAGGGTGGGACTAGGAGAGACGAGGATCTTCTCGACCTTGGCGGCCGAGGTCACTTTTCCGGTTTTGGGATCTGGCCTCAGCCATCCCCCAAAAAATCCCCGCGCCCATTTCTTTCTGCTTCCTTCCCCTCTTGGGCGCTTTTGTGTTCTCGCGGCCGGAATGAACTCTGGGCGCTGCTCTTGGAAAGGGGCGCTGTTTCTTTGGCTCCCGGAGCAGCATCCTGTCCCAGTGGCTGCTGCTGGCCAGGGAGGGAGGATGAGTGCAGAGCTGTGGAACAGGTCGTTCGGGAGATGGAAGAAGAAAGCCCGTCTTTTTATCATTGGAGGTGTCGTTGGTTGGGAAATGGGTCTTTCCCTCTCATTAACCAGTCAGCGCTGATTCAAACTTACCGGATGCGGAGAGAGCGCCTTTTGGACCTCCCTGGGGAATGCGAAACAGGAAAGATCGGGGTTCTGTCCCTATCTAGCTCCCTGTATGGTTGGGCAAACAGATCCCACACCAACTGGGGAATAGTTTTAGCGATCGGAGTTCCTCGCTACTGTTGTTTCCCTTCTGGGTGAGAATGCCCCTCGGAAAGCATTTTCACTTAACCCTGCGCTTTCAGGTTACCCTTATCACACCCCTCCCCTTTATTGCTTAATTGCTCTAAAGGAGTCATCCATACAGTGGGTGCTTCCGCCTTACCGCACACTTGCTTATTAATTCCCTTAATTTGTAGCTTCTGCTCCTACAGAAATTGTTCTCCCCAAGGTCACCGAGGACTAAATAAAATCCACCCCCACTCCATAGCAGACATTTATCAAGTGCTTGTGTGCCCTGCACTGATCTAAGTAGGAGCATTAATGCTGTTATCTTCAACTGTCCTGTAAATTATATGATATTGTTCTCATTTTGTTAATGAGGAAATTGAGGGGCAAAGAGTCTACACCTATAACAGCAGTAGTGACTCCAGCTTTTTTTCCTTCTTGTATGCCTTTGCATTGGCTTAGGCCCACTCACTCTAGTTCTCTCTCTCTCTCTCTCTCTCTCTCTCTCTCTCTCTCTCTCTCTCTCTCTCTCTCTCCCCCCTCTCTCCTGAGACTTGAATCCAGGGCCTGGAGCTTATTACTAAGTGTGCACTATTCCACAGAACTACATTCCTAGCCCCCTTTTCTTAAAATATACATTTCATGAAACTTCACTTTCTGTCACTTCTACTTATTCACAGGATTCAAGTGCTTCTGGTGTGTCTTCTTCCGTTTTAGAGCAGTAACTCTTGGTGTGTATTTGGACTTGCCCTGCTTCTCCCCAGAGCTTCTCTAGAGGATGATTTATGTCAGCCCCACCATTATCCTAGTCACCTAGGTGCAAAACTGAGCAGTCCTGTCTCATGTCACCTCCTCCTAATCATGAAATTACATTTATTCAGCTTTATATGGTCACTTCTAGCTTTCAGCAGTCTCAACCTCCATCCCCATTCCATCCTTTCCTCACCAGATTCCCTCTTACCCATCCCGAATACTCGTTTATCACTTACTATATACCAGTTTCTACTATGGTCATCTTCTTTGGTAGGTGTTCCCTTTTCACAAGAAGATCATAAACAACTAAGGACATTACAT